ATTGAGACCGTCTCGATGATTAATAAAAAATATAAGGGGAGAAGGTGCTAATCGAGCATAAACTCGAAAGAGTGTATGTAATTAATGTGTGTAAGTAGTATTAGTATGTTAGTTTGTACACTAATATTATATATAAACTTATAATTACTTCCTGTTCACCTGACAATTCTATGATATAAATAAATATTATAAATAGGGATTTCATCGGTGCTTGCACATCGTACAATCGGACACTAATACGATTCTGTATTGACCAAATGGCTAGTCTTCATTGAATGAGACAGGCCGCCGTGATCGAATATCGATCTGGAGGTATGTCCAATACATACTAGTATAATGTAAGTGTATGTTTAAAAATGTACTATGTAGATTATATAAAATGATGAAGGGATCCTGACTGGGTTTCAGTTAGGTCACCAGCATTTGCTTTAGAGCGCTCACGATAGCCCGATGTCACGTACTTAAGAGTATGCGTGGAAGTCGCAGTCGATTTTCGAGAGGCGTACTGCGCGTTTCCACAATCGCCTCCACCAATGTACTCGTGTATTTGCTCTAGTAGTAGTTCCTGGGCGACTGATCAACCACAACTGGAGTATTCAATGTGGCATCCACATGTGCGGGTTGCTCTGCAACTTCTGGCGTCGTATCCTCAGGCGTAGCATTTTCATTCGATGAGGGAACAGTCTCACATAGTAGCCGTTCGAGTTCGGCGCCATCAAATATGTTTGAGCGCAGGATATACCGAACTCGGTCTCCAGCTCAGCAAAAAAGATAACCAGTACGATATGCAAATCCTCCTTCTCCCCCTATCGCCCTAAAATACGCCCACAGTATATCATTGTCCATGCGCTGTACACTACCAGTGGCGGGTGCCGATTGCTGAGCCTGCGAAGGCCCTACCGACACCAAGCAAGCTCGTGAAGATGATGGATGCGAGGAGCTGCTGGATAGTCATACAGCACCTCGCGCTCGGCTGGCGTTTCGCATGCTGTCGCGTCCAGCGCCAGCACCATGCAGCGGCTCTTTGCGCGTTCTTTTAAAATCCATCATCCATCAACTGGGCGTCAATTAACGGGAGACGCAAAGGTCCGGCACCGTTTCATGGTGCAGCATTTTGAACAGGCGGGCCTTCGCATCTTCAATTCTGCATAGGCACGGCTCTCGCATCTCTTGGAAAGGCGCTGACTGACTGCGCCAATGTAACAGTTTTGTCACGTAACTGTTTCGTCGGCGGGCGATGGGGACGACACTTCCCTACGCCTATTTATTATTATTATTATTAGTATAAATTTGTCTTTGACTATATATACTGCCATTGTATTTTTTAATGGAGCAAATATGTTGACCTCATGAGGGTGGTAGCACTGGAAGCTGTGTTGACCATGCAATTTTTGTGATTTCGACGTGTACGTGTTTACACGCATTGACATGCGTCTATGTTTGTGCTTACGCATTACCAAGGGGCCAGGCCGTCTTTTACTGGTTCGCTAGTTATTTTGCTGTGGACTACGGTTCAGTTCCCAACTTCTCGTTCCTTTTTGGAGGGAGCGCGTTGTTTGGGTTGGCACTTACCGTGTGTCTCCCCACATTTTTTTTAAGTATGGGAGAGCGTAGCTCTTGTATAATAGAGTATTCTTACATAAATATTGTGGTACTTTTGCAAGTGGGATGGGATTAATTATAGGGATTTGATTGATGTGAAACTGAAAATGTGTGTTTACAAGTGGAATAGAGACGATTTATAGCAATTTCATCGTGAACGGGGCTTTTTAATTTGAAATAATTATAAGGCTACCACTAACGACTTTCGATTGTTCTAGTTAATATGCATTCTTTCAAGAGACCCCTGAAAAAAATAAGTTACTAAATAATACCTTTTTACTGGATTGCATCTTAGTCTTCAGGGGTGATATCGCATCTGCATTTCGATTCTTAATCGAAGATAAATATAGATGTCTATGGGCCACAGACCCGTCGAACTAGACTACGTCTAACGGTTCAGCTACTTCTTTTGTCTCTTCAAAGAGTGTTCGGGAAACTGTATTTGTTTGTTACTTTTTGCCGTAGGACACTCATTGCATCATTTATAACATACGCAGTCACTAGCGTCCGTAACAACATTTTTGTATGTTTGTGTAGATATAAAGAGTGAGAAAATAAATCATTTATTATTATTATTATTATTATAAAGGTTTAATTATTTTTTTTCTATTTGCTTTATTTTTAATTTATTATCGAGTTACGAAAAACAGTTCGGACAAATCTTCAAAGGAATAATATTGTAAAGCTACCATAATATTAAACGCGTTTACGTTTTATTTTTGCCAGACCTAAAATAACGTAAGTGAACTTATACGAGTATACGAGTAGATATATTTTGCTTTCCGAAAAATTTGTAAATTGCCCTTAGACTGCTCAACAACCAATAATTTCATAAGTTTAAAATATGGTCAATAATAAATAAACTGTAGGAAGTATACAAGTAATTATTATAGTCTAAAAAAAGTAAAAATTATGTTAATAGCAATTTTTGGTTTATACATATAATATAGTTGCGCGCCATAATTGATGCCACCAGCGCCATCTAGTATCGAGTAGCAGAACTAGGAGAGCTTTCTAGAAAATTCCATACTTGAACTTTCTACAACTAGTCGGTCGGGACCAGTATGTGCTCGAACATTCAAGATGTTTCAGTGGAGGGGGGTAATTGGTGTTCGGTAATTAAAGTGTCAATTTTAGTAATTCAATCAGAACAGCATTTTTTGTTGTCTCGAACTCCAAGCTAGTAACAATATATATATAGCACACAGTATTCAAGTTTACCCCCTATTAGTTGACAAAAGATACGGATTTCCAAATCACACATTAACTAACTAATTATTACTATAAAAATTAATTGCTTCATTTACTTTTTACTTTCACTCTTCATGAGGATATTCAGTTATATAGGCAAATGGTGAAGAAAAATTGAAACATTGTCCTCTTCAGTGGCGTAGCTACCTTGGGGCTAGGCAGGGCAGTGCCCCGGGGCCCCCAAGCTCAAGGGGCCCCTCAGCCTCCATGAACGACTTTTGACAAAATTGTACAAATAATATTGTAATTGTATTTAAAAAGAATCGATTTTTTACTTATTGGGTCCTGAGAAACAAACCACAAAAATTTCTTCCACCTTCAGAATATTAAACATCATTTTTAAAATGAAATTGTCTACTTAGTTTTATTAGTTTTATTGTCTAAATAGCTGTATTATTAACTGTACTCTACTTCGTCGCTGTTTAGTTTACTAGCTCGCGACTTCGTTAACCTAGTATGGTCCAACATTGAAAATTCCTTCCTTTATTAAATTGACCCTTTTCTCGGGGTGAAACGATGATGACGAGATGAAACGGTGTGCATGTGCTTTCATCCAAATCCATAAAGTAGTTTTTATGTGAAACCGTAACAAACAAGCAAAATTTCACGTTTATAAAATTAATAGTAACCCGCCCCGGCTCCAAACGGGTTAATTTTACATGTGGTGTCATTTATATTTAAAAAAGCACTGTTCATAATAATTCAAAGATAAATATTATGGTTACGGTTAGTCAAATTTAGGAGATAAATGGGCCTTTCTCTACTAACAGGAAAATCATGGTCCAAGCATGTTTTTTTTATTTTGGCTATATTAATGCATAGTTCTATTTATCAAAACACATAATATATAACCTGTTATTTAAGGAGCCAAGCTGAATCAATATTTAGAATCATAATCATTTCATAAATTCGGTCTAAAAGCCACTAAAAACAGTCCTCTGTTATGTCCTATTTATAGTTTTATCTATATATTATTTTTAGTATTTATTAGTTGTATTTAAAAATGTGAAATCTTATTACTCTATGAACATAAAGAATATTGAATGCATGTGAACAAAAAACAATTATAATTTTAGAGAATTTTTTTGTACTAAAAACTAGTGTTTGAATTTTGTCCGATACATGTCTATATATCTATACGATTTGAACAGTCCTCTGTCACAATTTGAATATCGCGCCACAAAAATATTAAACACTATTGTAGCTACATTTCGCGTCAAACGGAACAGTAACAGTGTGAAGTTTGCTCGGTTGCCATCCTAAACAAGTCGCCGCCATTTTTCCCAGTGACAACTCCGCGTCTGTGTGGGAGCCACGTCTCTGTAGTGTTGAGTGAACATTCCTCTGGTAAGTCTATTTTACGGTATTTTATGTGTTTTAATTATATTTATTTTACAAAAAAAATTGCTCAGTGTGATAATTTATAGCTGTTTCTGTGTTATGAATTAATATTTAAACTTATACGTGGTATGACATTTTTTTACGTAAAAATAACAGTCCTCTGTGCAACAGTCCTCTGGAAATTTATAACACAGAGGACTGTTCAATGTGACAGAGGACTGTTTTATTTGACGTCCGTGTATTTTATTAATATTCTTTATAGTCTGCACTAACCTACTGCTTGCCGATAGCCTCTTTCTTTCTTACATTGTCCTGTCACGCTAATTCAGGTCTTTTATTTTCTATTATGGATTTTGGAATATAAAATAATACGTACCTAGTAACTACCTGTTTTTAAACCCTTACGGTTTTTTTTAATATTGAAAGTATGTTTTATTGTTTTAGTATTGCCGCAATGCCACCAAAGAAGAAACCTAAAACCAAAGAAGAAATAAAAGAGCAGAAACGAATTGCAGAAAGATTAAGATATCAACGGCTAAAGAATGACCCTGTAAAAAGAGAGCAATTGAAGGAAAAAGAACGACGAAACTACCAAAGAAAGAAGGAAAAAGGCATAAGAAAGTCAGTTAAATATATGAGTCGACGTGAACACAAAGCTGTGACTAAAGAATGGAGAAAGCACTGTGCTACATATCGCGCAAAAAAAAGCTTTAAAGGAAATTACAAACAATTTTGTACGACATAATACGCCTGAATCCGAGGGTTCACCTTCTCCTCAAAGTTCTGTCGCTCCATCAATACTACCTATGACCACTCCACGAAGTAATGCAAGTAATGCGAGAAAGCGTAATGCTAGAAAGAAACGTGACAAAATTATAAAGGATAAAGACAAAAAGATCGAGTATTACAGAAAAAAATCCGAGAAGTATAGGAAGAGATTAGAACGTTTGGAAAAAGCTAAGACAAAGAAAAATGTAGACACACCTAACACTAAACTGACCGAAATGTGTGATTCGCCAGGAGCTCGCAGAGAAGTAGTCAGAAAGGCGCTATTCGGTGAAGTGTTGAATGCCCAGCTGAAAGAGAACTACGCTAATTTAAAAACCTGCAAAGAGAAACAAATATTCGGAAAAGTCGTGTCCGGTAAACTAATACACAAGTACAAGTTATGGCGAAGCAAAGATAGTTCCATATCTTATAAAACAATTCAGAAGTCAGCGCGTCAATCGGGTTTAGTACCCAAGCTTCGGACTCGCAAAGACAAAATTTCATCTGATTGCATAAACACTGTACGAACCTTCTACGAAAATGATGACAACAGCAGACTTGGCGCAGGAAAACGAGAATGCCTGACCAGAAAAGGGGTTAAAAAACAGAAAAGATAGCATTGGAAATTTATACAAGAAGTTTCAAGCTGAACATTTTAAAATAAGCTACTCAACGTTTTGTCGTCTACGTCCTTTCTGGGTCATAACACCAAATGTAAACGAACGTAACACGTGCCTCTGCATTAAGCACGCAAACATCGATCTGAAACTGTCAGCATTGCACAGAAGAAGAATTTTGACTTACAATAGTCACACTGCACTGCTTGAAAAGACATGTTGTAATCGCTATGACGAGCTATGTTTGTCACGAACCTGTCAACGCTGTATTGACAAAAATCCTGACTACAGGGAGTTTGATGACAGCAAGCCTATTGAATTTAAACAATGGATATCTGAGAAACAAACTTACAACGACCCCAAGACCAAGAATGCTCGAACAGTTACCAAATACCTAAAGAAAATGTTCACGGTTCGCCCTCGAGAACTAATAGAAGAGCTGCACGAGGATTTGGAAGCCTATTATCAACACGAGAGAAACATTACCCATCAATACAATGCTATCAAGAAATACAAACAAAACCTTACCGACGAAGGCGCTATCATACATATGGATTTTTCAGAAAATTATTGTTCCAAATACGGTGAAGAAATACAAGCATTTCATTTTGGAGGGTCGAGACTTCAGCTAAGTCTTCATACTGTGGTAGTGTATACCAAAAAGTCTATCAAGTCTTATTGTACCGTTTCCAAAAATCTCACACATTCACCAGCTGCTATATGGGCACATTTGCGGCCAATCTTTAAAACTCTCCCACCTAACATAAAGAGCATCCACTTCGTCAGCGATGGACCCGTAACTCAATACAGAAACAAAACGATGTTTTACATCCTGGCATCAAGGCTTCAACAAGAGGTTTCAAATGTGAAGAAGTTTACCTGGAACTATTCAGAGAGTGGCCATGGCAAAGGGGCCCCTGATGGCATTGGAGCGACCTGCAAGAGAACCGCTGATGCCGTCGTCGCTACAGGAGGTGATATTGATAACTTGGAATCATTTGTAGAGGCCATTCAACGAAGATGTTCCGCAATTACCTTGTTCACAATCGACGATAAAGCCATCCAAGAATTGACAGACGGCCTTCAAAATGAAACAGTTAATTTAAAAAGCTTTAATGGCACTCTTAAAATACATCAAGTTAAGGCTGAAATATTAAGAAGTCCTCTGGAATCAGCTCCAAAGGCCGCTAAACTCATAATGAAAAGTTTAAGTTGCACTTGTGAAGACGAGTGCCAGCATTTCAATTTAGGAGTGTTAGAGTACAAAAACAAGACAAAACTTAACGTAGATGATATTTACACAGACTCTGAAAGTGAAAACATGGACAACTCACAGAATTCCACAATGGAAACCGAAGACGACGGTGCACTGGCTGGACCTAGTTCAATCAACCAACAGAATTACACCATCGGTGATTACGTCTTGGTTAAATTTCTAGTAAGAAATACTGAATATTGTTATGCTGCAGTAATCAATAAGATAGACACGGAAGAAGGCGAACTAACAGTAACCTTCTTAAAAATTTGTGATGACAAAGGACACACATTCAGAGTCGATGAAAATGATGTTTCTGATGTGCCCTTTGACTAAGTAATAAAGAAGTTGCCAAACCCAGATGTTGCCCTAAAAGGGAAACGAATATTTTATTATTTTAATATACCTGTACCTGTTTTTGAGAAATAAGTCTGCATTGATAAGTAAACAAGACTGATTCTTAGTACCTAAGCTTAATTTTGATTATAATTATTTTAATTTGTTATGAGAGCTAAGCTCGCAATTTGTTCCTGATTTATCATCAATACTTATAAGTATTTAAATTCTGTATGTGATTTAGTATTAAATAAAGAAGAGAATTTATTTGATTACATTTAATAATTAATATTGTATTTTTCTTCATATAAACATTGACATAAACTGTTCTCTGGGTGGAAAAAACAGTCCTCTGGGTGGCAAAACCTCTGTCGCATTTTTTTTACAAAATTGCCTATAATTCGAAAAATAAGGGAAAATTACAATGGTTTCTTGTTTATATGTACTTATATTATAACTATCTATCGACTTAACATATAATATTTTTAATTTTCTAGAAAAATAGGGTTGGGACAACTGTCAATAGACAAGTTTCCAGTTAGTAGAGAAAGGCCCAAATATATTATTATACTAGCGTGGACTTTTAGTCTAGACTTTTTTGAAGAACTACGATTCCTTAGTACATTATTTTAATGTATCTTTTTAAAGTCTAGCGATTTTTTGACGACTTATAAATACCAAATATTGAACACTTTTTATTGTTCAAAGTTTAATTAGAATGTATACATACTAAAATTGCGAAAATAAATCTCTAAATGGCAGTGAAAATCGTTTTTAAAATCCGTTGCGCGGTGATTGCGTAGTTTAAAAGAAATAAGTAGGTAAAGGTTTGTTTTAAAAAATCGAAAATATAGTACTCAACAGTCAATCACCCCGTAAAATAAAATGTATCGTACAAACTGTAACACCCTATTTCATACCCTGAGGATTAGAATTTTTCAAAATCCTATCGTAGTTACGGCTACCAGATTCGAAAATGAGTTTTCTTGAGAAAATCCCTAACTTTTCCTTAACGAGGAGGCAGCAAAAATATCTAATTATAAACAAAACTCGCGCAATGTGCTTGACATATTTTGCGCAATATTCAGCAATAAAAAGGACGAGCCAGATCATATGAACGAAACAATGTTATTTTTGAGATTGGATTCATTTATTGTAATTTTTTTTATGCTTAAACTGCTTAAGAAATATTTTAATTTGTATTCCTTATATTTTTCTCTTTCTATTTATAAATTCCTAAGAGTTTCGAATTTTCCCTGTTTCCCTAAAAGAGGGCTAAAATTCCGGACATGTCAGGAAAATTCCTGTCATCTGGTAACCCTAATCGTAGTTAATGCCTACCTCGTTATTAGGAAGACGCTGCTTCCCATCTCCTGTTTTGTTTCCCACTGTCGCCTCTTACGACACCCGCGGGATGATATGAGGTAGTGGATATGCTTGCATCGCCACTAGACGGTAACGCCTCTCTTACTAAGGGCTGAATTTTCCGAAATTCTTTCTTAGTGGATGCTTACGTCATAAAAGGCAGCTACTGTTAGATTTCTACGTCTAGTTTTTTGGGATGAGCGTCGTGATATAATATTTTTCATACAAACTTTGCACTCCCTTTTTAAGTCCCTAAGTATAGATTTTTGAAGAAACTAAAAATGTGAAATTTATTATTTTTAATTCCAGCGTGACTTTCATATTTAAAAAAGTTAATATATTTTTCTCTGGTCCCTTTGTAGGTAATGGATTATTTTCAGAAACACTAAATCCGTATCCATTTATTTCACTTTTGTATAGAAAAAGGTTGACAAACGAGCACACAGTTCACCTGATGGTAAGTAGATGCTGTGGTCCATAGACATATGTATTTATCCTCAATTAAGAATCAAAATGCAGATGCGTTGTCACCCCTGAGCTAAGATGTAATGCCTCGTTTATAGTAAATAATGGCTCCGGTTCTCTACACTCACCATACGATACATAGCAACATCACGCCGGTATTCTGTGAGAGCGTGGTCCTGCATCGGTCCAGCCGACCTATTCGTGCTACAATCATAATTATAGCTGCAGCGTGACTTTGACACGTAATATACAGATTACCTTTAGTAAGTTTCAAGTCAATCGCCCCGTAAAATAATAAGTTTCATACAAACTGTATCACCCTATTTCATTCCCTTAGAGGTTGAATTTTCCTTTACCATTTTTTAGTGGAGTAACTGCCTTTTATAACGTAGGCAACGTTGTAAAAGGCAGTTACTGTCCCATTTTCAGATTTCTACATATAGCGGTTTGGGCTTAGACTGGATGAGTTAACCGTCAAATGCCTTTTGTACGCCGATGATTAAGCCATACTTGCGTCGTCGGCAGCCGAGTTGCAAATGATTATAACAATAATGAACGGGTCATTTAAAGAAAGGGGAATAAAAGTGAATGCAAGTAAGACGAAAGTTATGGTTTTTGAAAGAGAAGAAAGTAAAAAGAGATGTGAAATAAGAATAGAAGGGGAGATGGTCGAGCAAGTAGATGAATTTGTATATTTGAGATGTGTATTCAACAGGGTTGGGAGATATGATAAGGATATAAAACGAATGAATGCAGTAAATAAAGTAAATGGGGCTCTACACTATTGTGAAAAGTCAGAATGTGTCAAAAAAGGCACTTATGGCAATTCAAAGTGCTGTATTAGTCCCTACTTTAACGTATGGTAGTAAAAGTTGCGTGTGGCAGAAGAAACACGAGAGTAGAATAAATGCAGTAGAAATGCGGTCGCTAAGGATTATGTTAGGACTGAATCTGGTGACAGGGTGAGAAACTGTGTGATAAAAGAAAAGTGTGGTTTGCAAGATGATGCGGTTACCAGGATTAAGAAAGGAATGCTTCAGTGGTTTGTTCATGTAGAAAGAATGAATGAGGAAAGACTGATAAAGCAAATATATGTTGCAGAAGTGAATGGAAGAGTCGGAAAGGGACATCCTAGGCGATAGTTTGTCGACCAAATTAGCGATATAATAAAAATGGGCCAAATTAAGAGTACCCTTAACCGACGAGCATGTATGCGTAGGTATATGGATGTAGAGGAGGCGAGAGAGGTATGTCAGGATCCTGCTAAATGGAAGTCTGTAGTCTTGCCTACCCCTCTGAATGACAGGCGTGAATGTTTATGTTATATATATATATATATATATATATATATATATATATATATATATATATATATATATATATATATCTGTGTGTGTGTGTGTGTGAGGAGGTACAATTAAATGGTATCTGCAGTATACTACATGTAGTTTGCACATTTAAGTAATTTAGTTTAGTTCAAATAGAGCCCCAATTTCATTTTTGCCCCGGGGTCCTTGGCTGCATAGCTACGCCACTGGTCCTTTTTATCTTTTAATTTCAAAATGCGTGGTAATGCATT